GAATTTGATATTAATAGAGAAAAGAAAGTATTAAATTCTGAATTAATTCCAAGACTTTAAGAATTAGATGATGTATTTATTATTATAATCTTAATTAAATTAATAGATTTTATTAGGACTTAAAGCTAAATAAACAGATAATAATTAATCATTTAAAGAAGCTGAAGCTGCTAGAAATACATAACATGATTCATTTGTATTAACAACAACTGAATTTACAGATGCATTAAGAAATATTGATGAAGCATTAGATTTATTAACTGATTTATTTAAATCTGGTGAAGTTAGAGCTGCTTTTATTGAAATTTCAGATGAATAAAAACATAAAGTTAATAAAGCTTTAAGATAAGTTAAATCAAATACTGAAAAATTTGGACATTAATATTCATCATTCATTTAAGCATTAACTAATTTAACTGAAGGATTTAATTTTAAAGATAGATAAGTGTTAAAAGAAATGTGTGATTTCTTAAATAGTTTAAGATTAAATATATTTGATGCTTTAACTAAAGCATATAAAGATGAAGACAGTTAAAAATAATAAGATGAATTAAGAAGATAATAATTAACATCTGAAAAAACAGTATTTGATTAATAATATGCTGATTTCTATTAAGAAAGAGAAGATAAAACTGTTAGAATATCTGATGTTTAAACTATGATATCTACTAGATAAGCAGATCTTAAAGCTTATTAAGATAGATTAAGAACTGAAAATAATAATTATTCAGCTAATCTTAAAATACATGATGATATTGTGGTAATCTTATCAAATTTATATAGTCATCTGTTTAATAAGAATTAGCAGTCTTAGCTAAAGCATTATAAGTTGTTTAAACACCACCATTCTTAGATTTCTTAAATGCAAGAATAGCAAAAGCATGAGTTCATTAAATAATATTATAAAGTATGATTTTTTTTGAATTTTTAACAATTGCCATATCCATTAAGTTTAATCTGTTAGATTCAAACTTTATTTTTAATTTTAATATAATTATAATAATCACACATCTAAATCTTTGTAGATTTATTTGAATTCAGCGAAGTTGAAAAGTAAAATTATTTTTTAAAAGGATTCAATTAAGTTCTAAATAAAATCGTTTTTCTTTTTTCTTTCGTGTCTGGTTATTATGAATTTAGTTAGTTTATATAGTCATAACACTAAAATTTTAGTTTTTTGTTTTAAGTCTGGGGCTATTGGGTTTAATACTCAAATTTTGAAAATCAATCGACCTTAAAATTAACTAGAAAAAAGAATGAATTTAAAAGGTGTTTTATTTTTGGAAAAAATTGTGATTTTACTTTCAGTTTTTTATTTTTACTTCAATCTTTAATAAATTTATAAAAATAAGGACTGTTCATCGCTTTCCAATTTAATTTAGCTTGACCTTTTAGTTTGAATCATTTCCTTATCTATTATTATAAAAAAATTTAGGAGCGGAGAGTTTGCTCCCAATTTTAATCCTATTTTGGAGTGTCAAAATAATTGTTATTTAGATTTCTCTTTTGTAATTTCAATATCTCCAATATCCTAAACAAAATACTAATAATTTTTCTTTGAAAGGAAGACTGATTATTTATTAAGCACAATTCTAAGAGCATAAAATCCTAATATCCTCTCCTATTTAGACTCAGTGTTACAGAAATCAAGAAACTTATGTGGACATCGACCTTCTGATCCTTATACAAGATTCTCAATATCTTAAGTTTATACAGGCATCATAAAAACAGACCGAGATGTAAGGAACATATCTAGTTCTCCTTCTATCTTGTTTCTCAAAAATCAATGGTTCAATAATCAACATTAAAAAGCAAAAAGGAATATTCATCTCCAAAAAAAAGTGAATAAATTTAATTTCAATCAGAGTCCAGCCAAAATAGGTTTAGTTCCTTAAAGAGATAACAATGAGGTTGAGAGTTAAAAGGTATAGAATTTATTAAATAATGAAGGTGCAAATGTGAGTCATAGAAAAATAAGATGCCAAAGTATAAGAATTTTAAGACAATAAAGAAATTAGGAGTTGTTAAGTATAGTGAAGTGTTTTTGACATTATAAATTCAAACAGGATTTTTGGTTGCACTGAAAGTGATATAGAAAGCATTAATAATAAAGGAGATGATGTAAAGTTAATTGGGTTGGGAAATAAAATTTAATATCTTTTGATCATCCAAACATAACAAGATTGTATACCTTCTTTCAGACTTGTAAGATTAATAAAATACATACCTAGAAAGTGAAATTGTTTTAGTATTAGAATATTGTTCTCATGGATAATTGAATACTGTTTAATAGACTAAACAGAACAAAAGATTCACTGAAAAGGAGGCAGCCCAATTGGTTTAATAAATTACATTTGCATTGATGTATATTCATAATCTAGATCTGATTCATATAGACATTAAACCAGATAATATCTTGTTGAATTTTGGATAGGTCAAATTAGCCGACTTCTCATTTTATGTCTATTCTCCAGATGAATACAAACAAACTTAATGTGGAACATTGATATATGCATCACCTGAAATTTTAGAAGATGACATGTATGATAAGAAAATAGACATATGGGGATTAGGAGTTTTAACTTATGAACTTTGTTTTGGGAAACCTCTCTGGAAGGAAAACTAATAGGAATTAATAAAAACAGTATCGATATCTTTAATATAGACATGTTTTATGATACCTTATACAGCATCTAGAGATCTTAGAAACTTTATAGAAAATCTAGTTAAACGATTATCTTGTGAGAGATACACAGCATAAAAAGCTTATAATCATGGTTGGTTTTAGAGGAGTATGCAAGTGATTCCATATTATATTTCCAGTAAAGATGGCTTATTTAATTGATATATATATATATTTAATGTATAATTGTATAAGAATTAATCTAATTAAATTATTTTCTTAATTTTCATCAAATTGACATTTCTAGATCTGATCCAAAATGATCAATGAAGTTCTCTGGATATATTTTATTATAATATTTAGGTATACCTGGTAAACTTCCACTTTTTTAATCCATATTGCTCTCACTAAAAAATTAGATAATAAAATTACTGATCTTCAGTTTAAACTAAGCCTTATTTTTTTACTATATCAAACAAATAATTGCGAATCATTCTCCATCTTCTTTTGATTCTCAAAATTTATTCTCCTCTGTTAGTAAAGAGTCTTTTTGTTAGCCAATTTTTATTAACTAAATTTGGAAATTTAGAATTAAGTTTATCTCTCAATTTATCCAAAGCTGCCTATTGATTTTCTAGATTTGCCCATAGAATTTCCCATAAAATTACCAATATAAATGCAGCATTGATAACAATCAAAAGAATGTAAAAGGGCCAAATAATTTCTTAATTGTTGGTTAAATTTGCTGAATATAAAGTCATTCCCAAAACAATTGATGTTCCACATACTAATGTACTAATATCATCTATTTAATTAAGAAATGGTAATTTATATGGTCTATACTTTTTGGTTAATCCTGAGTAAATGAAGACAATAATAAATACTAAAGCAGCTTTAATAATGATTAAGTCTTCATAGAAAGTAAGGAATGTAATGATAAAACTTTTCTAATAGACTTTAACAATTTCCCAAAAGTATGCTTTAGGTTAATATTCATTATAAAGATAACCCCAATTTTTCCTGTTGTTTTCATCATCCAATTTACTTCTAATTTTATATAAATTAAGAAACAAGTATGTTGGTATAATTAATCCTAGCATCAAAGCCGATGGCAAAACGAAGGTAATTAACCATTTCACATGAGTACTTGTATCGTATCTGTAAGAGACATTTCCTTGGATCCAATAAATGTCTGAAATTTATCTAAAAGATAGCAAAGAGATGAAACCTCCTAATAAGGTAGGTTGTAAAAATGTAAACAAGTATATAAGAGTAGTAGAGATGGCACTCTTATTTGCAATTACAATTCCAACAATGATTGCTATTATATAAAGTATAGAGAATGTGAGTATGTAGATCAAAGGCATTATTAAAGCCCATATCATTCTAAAATAAAGAATATCTATCTATGTCATGTGAATCAGAAAGCAATCCAAGGAATAACTCATTGATTCTACAGGAGTTCCAACTGTTTTGAATGCTTCAGATAGAGCACTTGGCAATGATAGTTAGAATGTAGCTACAACTCCTATAATCTATAAATAATTTGTCAAAACTTTAATCAGAATACCTCCATAACCAGTTTTTGGATTTTCAACATAAAATTTCTGTAATTTTTTTCCCATAACCATGTTTTCAACCATTTCCATAGTACTTTTAACTGACAACATTATGGATATAATAGTCCATGCACTTACTAATGCTACTTTAATAGTATTATCACCTATTTAATCACAACTACCACATTTATATTATCCACTCATTGACCAAGATCCCTTACCTTCTATATTATAAACATCACATTATTCACATAATGCTCCAATATGTCCAGTGAAACAGGAAGGATTACCTGGTATCCATCCTCCTTCACAATTAATTTCCATATTCAAACAATACTCTATTCTAACACTATAAGTGTATGGTCTCCAAAAGCCAGCTCTCAATTTCACACTTGCTGAAGTCACTGCTTCAGTAGATATTGAGTCTCTTGTTTAACATTATTAACCTGCTTATACTGAATATTAATCGAGTGTTGAATCACACACAACACATGTACCATCATCTAATCTTTTTTGTTCACCCAATTGACAATCTAGAGATTGAACATTTACTCTCAAACGATAATCTTCTATTAATTTGTTTAATAAATATGGAGGTTCTGAATTAAATATAGGTATCCTGACTGAATCACAAACAAATTCTAATTATAAGACTTATTCAGAATTTCTAGTTGGATCAAAATATATAATCATATCATCTAGATTATAATCTTAATATTCAGTATCAAATTTAACTTCTTTTAAATTTGTGAAGCTGGAGGTCTATTCTGACAAAATTTTAGGACTCTCTTAATTTGAAGTTTATTTAGATACAAGTTAAGATTTGATTGAACATTTTGAATTATCTAAATTTTGAATTTTGTTGTATTGTTTATTCAAAGCCAATATACGAAATGTCAAATTGTATGATACAAATTATTGAGTAGTCTCATTATAATATTTGTAATTACTAATTGCTTATCCACTTGGTAAAACAATGAAATCTTTAGTTTCATTATTGAAAGAATAGGGTTATATTGATATCAAATCAATGATAGTAGTTGAATTTGAAAAAATCAATTTCTTTTCTAATTGGGTCTTTTCTCCATCCAATGATACTGTCAATTATGAGGGATATTCAGCATAATTCTTACCATATTTATTAGCTTAATTATTTATAAGACGTAGATTGAGTCTATCTGGAGAATTGAGAGTATAATTATGTAAATAGAATGCACCTCCAATTTAGGCAGTGTTGGATGTCAAATCTGAATCGTAAATATTGAATGTTGCAGATTTCGAGATGAAGTAAACAACACCTCCAGATTAAGTGGCTTGATTATAATTGAATATACAAGAATCAATAAGGAGATTCATATCATCCACATAAAATACTCCACCATTTTAACCAATGTTTGAATGAAATTCACTTTTTTTAACAGAAACAGTATAGATGAGTTTTTCTTTATTTGAAGAACTTAAAGCAAGCAATCTATTATTATTCTATTATAGAAATACAAAGCAACTATATCCACAAATGTTTTAATTGAATCTAATATTCTCAATTTTTACTATATTAACACCCAAATCATAATAGGCTTTAAAAGTATGGAGTATTAAGGCTTTCTAGCAATTTGGACAACTTATCATTTAGAATTGACTATCTTTATAAGCGATTTTATAATCTTTCTAAATTGAATCAATTTAAATCAAACAGATTGGATAATTGAAACTTTAACTAATACTTTTGATATTGTGTTGACCATAATAATTTATAATAGAACTATTTATGCCATCATAAAGATAGGAAGGTTTGGATGTTTCTTATGTACATTCCATTTACAATGCTTAATAAGTTATTTCTAATGATTGAACAGGTATTTCATCATATTAATAAATTGAAATATTAAACATCCTAAAATTTTAGAAACTCAATAAATTCACTGAAGTAAAGATCATAATTGGTTGTGAATATATTAAACAATTTGAAATACTCATTTATTTAAAGATTGCTTATCCTGTTTAAATTTCAAATAATCCACTAAATTAATTTGAGATAGTACTCATATATATAGTTAAGTTACCCATCAAAGAAATAAAGTAACTCTTTTAGAATGTACTCAGTTCTATTTCTGATAAATAAAATAGTAATCCAAGATAATCCTTGAATCCTGAATAAGTGTTACTTACAATTAAATTTTCAATATAAACATCAACACTAGAAGTATATGGTATCTTTATAAATGAATAAAACAAAGAATAGGATTCACTTACAATAATATTGATCAAACTAATTAAATTCTTGACTTTTGATGGATTGATAAAAAATACACCTCCCTCTCTTCTACTATAACTTCTAATAATTTCAGCATTTGTAATATTAATATCTAATTAAGATAAAGAGGCATCAATATAGATTGTACCTCCTTAAGCAGATGATACTTTTTCCAAACTTGCCCTACAATCTAAGAAGGTTATGTTTTAAATATTAATAATTCCATATTATACAGGTGCTATGTAAAAAGCTCCTCCTTTTTATGATCTTGATTCTAATACTAATACATTCTAAATATCTAAGGAATTGGCTGATAAATATGCACTACCTCCTTAAGAATAGATAGGGAATGATTGAGTATAATTTTCAAAGTATAACACTTAATCTTATTAGATACCCCAATATATGTTTTATTGAATAGTATCTAAAGGAGGCAAATTAGATTGTAAGAAACTACAATTAATTATTAAAATAGTTAAACACTTCAACACTAAATTTGAGTTCTATCCATTTGTTATCATATTTCTTTCAAAAGTTACTTCTTCCATAATAATAGTTGAATAAGGACTAGAGAACAAGATAGTAGATGATGAAATAAATGATAAATCTTAAATATAACTATGTTAGTAATTATGAAAGTAAGTAACATTTTTTATGATTACATTTTAATACTACTCTGAACTAATTTATATTATTGCTTATTATTCACTGATTGCAGTTAAGAGTAATAAATTTTGTGAGAAATAACTGTTTTAGATTATAATATTTTCATTTTATCTCACTTTCATTTTGTCTGATGATTTTATCAAAATTAATGGTAAATTCACACTTCTTAAATTATTCAATTATATCTTATCTAATTTTATATTCTTAGCATTATATATATACATCAATGCTGTATATCCTTATACGAATATTGATCTTTCTGCACATAAATATGCATTATGTAAGAAGGATGTCTTAAATTCAGAATGTTGAGCATTCAAATTGATTATTTGAACATCTATACTATTAAGAATTGCTAATTCAGGAAATGATTATTTTCTTATGATATCTACATTTTTAAGTTAAATTTTAAGAACATCAAGATAAATTGTAGAATTTTCAGAAACTATATTTCTCTATTTATACTTATTAGATGATCCAAACAATTAATTTAAATGTATGTTTAAATCAATAATTTCTATAATTAATCCAGTAAAAACATCCTAATAGATTTCAATGAATGCTTTTCCACTTGCAAATTAGTTATTCTCAAAAATTAGATTTTAAATCTAAATAGAGTTTTTATCATTATCAGAATCAGAATATGCTACAGTTGCTTTATTTGTAATAAATCTATCATTTGATGTTTCTAGAGTATTATCATTTATTTTTATATTTTATAATTAAAATAATGGAAGTAATAA